AGCGCAACGACGGCACGGACGCGTCGCGTACGACTACAGTACGACATCCAAGTGACGACATGCAAAAAGGCGATATTTGCAAAGATTTTACTTTCATTATCATCGTTTATTGTGGACAAGTGCCCGAACACAGAAATCAACGGGGTCCAGCACCAAATGGCCGGTGATCGGACGCTCGGTCAGTTAATCATCTGCAGCGATAGGTGATTGGGCGTCACGGTGGCAGGCCGCCCTATCAGTTATGATTTTGAGACGCCTGGTTGGTTAAGCTTTGTTTGCAAGTTTGGAATCGAGTCGGTTTGCTTGTGCGGCGGCCGCAGGCACAAAATCAATCAAACAACGCACACACACAGACGGGACGGACAAACAAAACAACCAACCAACGACGATATAGAAACAAGTGGCAACGCGGTGACCAAATTTGCATTCGCATCCACATCCTCATTCACTGGTTTATAATAACGTCGTAAGGATAACAATCGGCACGGCAGCCGCTATGCCACGGACTGACCGACGCGACGCGACGCGAGCGAACGCAAGAAAAGAAACCGAAGTGACGTGAGGCGGCGATCGTCCATTTGTCGGTCGTTTGATGATTGGAGAGTTCGAGCGACATGCGGGCGTGGCGTCCACTTCGTGAAATCGATGCGATTGGCGAAAGTGAAATTTCGTGAAATCGATGCGCAGGCGGACACGGAGGCGGCGGTTCGACAGCTCCTCAACGCATGCCTCCGTACGACACGGCAATCGATCGCGAACGGTAAGAAACAACAGCAAACGAAAAGAATCATAGGCAGGCGCCGGCAGAGGCTGATCACCTGATCACCACAGTTACACTCACTAGTCAGAGTCATGCAGAGCACAACCTAACCAGAACTAACCGTCGGTCGGCTGGTTGAATACGGTAGTACGCGGATGGAGTGGACTGGACGCGGGATCTGGTTGTCGTTCGTGAGGGACGACGACGAGTTTTCGAACAACTGGATCCGACGCCAAACGACTACACGCCACGCCACATAAGCAGGCACTAAGCGGACCGCTTGCGGTCGCGACCGGTCACACAGCTGTTCTGGTGCTGGTGTTGCGGCTGGTGCTGGTGCTGGTGCTGGTGCTGCTGGAGGTCTTTGACGTTCACGCTGGTGGTCGGATCGACCGCGTTCAAGAAAAGAGCCAGCGCGTTGCCGCCGCCGCCGCCGCAGTTGCCGCCACCGAAGCTGACCGTGGACATGGTTGAGCCGAGTGTGCCGCAGCCTGTCATACCGGTCGAACGTACACTGGCCATCGACGGCGCGTTGTGGTGGTAGGACGTGATCAGTTGCGACGGGCTGAGCTGTTCAGGCGGTGTCAACGCGATCGTCGAACTGAGCGACGGTAGCGGCGCTTGGTGGTTGCCGGCCACTGTCCACGACGAACTGGCGGCCGCCGCCGCCCCCGGCGGCGGAAGCTCCAGACCTCGGAAGCGGATGGCTGCCGCCGCTGCCATGTTCGACGACGTGATGTGGCACGGGTCGAGGCCGGCGGCGCTCAGCGGCAGAATGCGCTGGTGAAACGCCAACTCATTCGCCTGT